TTATGGGCAGTGAGGGGATATATGTGTGGTTGAGAATCTGTAGAGTGTGTGTGTGTGTGTCCATTTCTCAGTTTCTGTATCTCCAGAAAAAGTAAGTTTTAAAAATTAAAAAGAAATCCTATGCTAACTGACATGAAGAATTTCTTTCTTTTCTTTTTAAGGTTTATTTTCATTTTTATCTGAAAGGCAGAGTTACAGAGAGAAGGAGAGACAGAGAGAAAGAACTTCCATCCATGGTTCACCCCCAAAAGGCCACAATGGCCGATGCTGGGCTGATCAGAAGCCAGAAGCGTCTTTCTGGTCTCCTGGATGGGTGCAGGGTTCCAAGGACATGAACCATCCTTTGCTGCGTTCCCAGGCCCTTATCAGGGAGCTGGATCAGAAGTAGAGCAGTCAGGACATGAGCCAGCACCCATATGGGATGCTGGTGCCACAGACTGAGGCTTAGTCTGCTACACCATTGCACTCACTCTGGATTTTTTTCTGTTGTTCCTTTTTTCTGTACTATCTTCGCTGGGTTTTTTGTATCAGAGAAATATTGTGTTCATAAATTTAGCTGGGAAGTGTTTCCTCCTCTTTTGTCTTCTGGAAGAGATTGTATAATTATTGTTAATTCTTTCAGTGTTTGGGTAGAATTCTGCAATGAAGCCATCTGGGCCGAGAGGCGCCATTCCAGGACATGTAACATTACAAATTCAGTTGCTCTGTAGTTACAGAATCATTCACATTATGCTGTTCACCCTGGTTGAGTTTAGTAGTGCAGTCCTTTTCATCCTGGTTGTCAAATGTAGCTGTTGGTGTTAGTCCTTCACTGTTTTAATGACCCCAGCTTTTATAGTGATGTCACAGATATTTGACTTGTCAATTGCTCTGTTTTTTCATTTTTTCCCTCCTTGTTAATTTTCCTGGAGGTTTATTAATGTTATTGATTTCTGGAAATAGTCCTTTCCACTATTTTTTCTATTGTTTTCCTATTTTTAATATCATTGATTTCTGTACTTCATTGTTTCCTTCCTTCTGCCTGGTTCGAAATGTTTGCTCTTCTGTTTCTGGTTTCTTGGAGTAGGAAGATTGGTCATTCATTTAAGATCTTTTTTATTTTCTGAGGTAATTTTGGTGCTGTAAATTTCCTTCAGCACTGTTGTAACCATACATTTCTATGTGTTACTACCAAACTTAAAAATAGTTTTGAAATGCACAGAGATAGACAGACAGAGAGAGCAGGGACCCAAGCATCTGGGCCATCACCTGCTACCTCCCAAGGTGCACGGTTAGCAGGAAGCTGGAGCCAGCAGCAGAGACAGGACTGAAGCGCAGGTGCTCTGAGAGGGGATGCAGCTGTGCCACCCAATGTCTTACCTGCTGCATCAGACACCTGCCCTGTTGTTACCTAATTGTCACATTATAATTACAACATAGTTGTCCATACTTGTGTTCTTTTGTTCACTCTCTTGCCTGTTTCACATTTCTTACCTTCCTGGGAGTTACTTGAGTGATTTTTACGATTAAGCATTTTTGCACATCATTTTGTACAATTTTGTGGCAGTACTACACTATCGTGCTGGGCCCTGTTTTGGTTTTTTTAATTGGAAAGTCAGATTTACAGAGAGAAGAATCTCTCATCCATTGGTTTACTCTTCAAATAGCTGCAATAGCCAGAGATGAGCCGATCCGAAGCCAGGAGCCTCCCAGGTCTCCCAGGCAGATGCTGGATCCCAAGGCTTTGGTTCATCCTTGACTGCTTTCCTAGGCCACAAGCAGAGAGCTGAAAGGGAAGTGGAACAGGCTGGGACATGAATTGGTGCCCCTATGGAATCCCAGCGCCTGCAAGGCAAGGACTTTCTCCACTAGGTTACTGCGCAGGGCCCTGCTCTCTCTTTATTTTTAAAAATAGACAGATAAAGAAAACTGACTTTAAAATAAATAAAACACCCCAGCTGTAGGCAGCTGCCTAGGTTCTTAAAGTGTTACATTGCCAGGAGAAAAACAGCCAATAGTTGATGAGCTTTCTGGGCCTAGTTAATGTCATGTTTGTGTTAACTATACCAATGTGTCAGCATAGCTGTCTATTTGACTTTTTTAAAGATATGTGAGGAAGATAGGACATGCTGGGCTGGCACACATGGTTGGGTGAGTGTAGTTGCATATTGCCTGGGGGAGGGGGTCTGGGGATGTGTTGGAGTGGGAGTGGTTGACAGGGGAGGATTGATTTCTTGGGTCATGGACCAGACCACTGCACTCACAGTTAGGCAAGGGGATTGGTATACAGTGATTTAGAAGGGGAAAACCAGAGGATATTTTGGGTCAGGCCAAGGCACCCACTGGAGAGATCTGGGCTGGGCTAAGTAGCATCACCCACTGGCTGCTGGCACATGTGAAAGCTGAGGCCAGGAGACATGCCTGTTTAGAGTTGCCTGCAGTACCCACCTGCAAGTAGGTGGGCCATGTCTCTCTGGACCACAGCACCCACTGGAATGTGAGAGAATCATATTTGGGAGAAGACTTGGGAGTAGATGACTTGTGGGCTCACCTTTGTGAGACTGTAGCATCTCCTGGTTGGCATGAGAACTGGGAGTAGTGATAGGGTGAGCCAGACCGTAGAACTCACGTGACAATCCTGGAAGCCAAGCTGGGAGGAAGCCAGGCTGCAACACCTACCAGCACATACAAAGGCTGGGACTGACCATGCCAAGCAGTGCTGCAGCACCTATCAGTTCACCTGAGATCCAGGTCTGGGAATGGATCTGTTGCGAGAACTTAGAGAATTCCTTCACTAGGCTGCAACTCCTGCTGGGGAGCCAAGAACCAGGGCTGGGGGTGGGCCAGGCTGAGATGAGCTGCATTACCTTACAGTTCACATGAGAGCTGGCAGTGGGCTAAGCTGGGCTCCTAGGCTGCCTCTGCTGGTGAGAGCTGAGACTAGGGGTCTGGCTGGGCTGAGCCAGGTGGCAACACCTGCTAGTGAATGTTGACACTGGGGGTGGGACATCCCAGACTGGGTAGCAACACTACTGGCATGCCCAAGAACCAGGGCTGGGAACAAGCCTGGTAGGGAAGCATTGGGGACTCCACTGCTAGGTTACTGCTCCTACTGGTGAGTGTGAGAACTGAGACTTGGGAACATGTCCACACTTCTCAAGAGACCTTGACATCGTCTGCTTAATAAAAATGTTAGTTTATGGACTCGCTGACTTGTTTTTTGGCTTCTTGGCTGCAAAAAGTCAAAAAAACAACAACAAAAACAGCCCGCATTAGTATCCTTCTTTTCCTTGTACCACAACTGTTGAATTCTCATGTCCCAAAGATTTCTCCAACAGTTTTATAAAATATAAACACTCCAGTGAGTATTTTCTGTCTACCCAGTATGTCAGAAAAAAAAATGTTTTTGAAATGTTCTCCCTAGTTAGTGAGGAGGAAAGGAGGTAAAAAATAATGTCACCTTTGACTCACACAAGGGTCTTGAGTAGCTAAGAATGCTAGGAGTAAACTTGGCCACTTTAGCATAAGACTTTCCTTTTAAACTTGCTTTCTTTCCCCTCTGAGCTGAACGCCCCAGCAACCAAATTGCCTCCATGAATGTCTCATTTCATACACTAAACTCGCGGTATCACACCATCTCCCCCTTGTCTCTGCTCTGCACAGCCAGTGCTTGCACACTCATCCTTGTCCCCAGCAGGCTTGTCCCTGGACAGCTGCTCAAGCTGAATTCTCTGCTTAGCACAGCCTCAACTTCCTTGTCGCTCACCTTCCCACACTAGTTTCTGCTCATCATTTCAGATCAGTTGGAGAAGCACAACTTCTGGGAAGCCTTTGTTCTCTCTTCTCCAAGCACTGAACCAAGTGTGGCACCAGTGCCACCCAGGCCTGCCAGTGTCACACTGCATCCTGGAGGCCTAATGGTCTCTCCAACCAGATGGTGAAAACCTTGAAGACTGTGACTAGGTTGTTTCTGAGCCCCCAGCCTCCTCTACTTTTATAAATACAATAAGAGCTGTATATAAGCTCTGCCTCTGTATCTAAGCTCTGTTCAGTACCACCAGCTGGTTGGCGGAGACATTCATCTAGTTCTTCATCAGTATCAGAACTATCTGTTGAGCTTCTTTACATGTAGGTGTTGAAACCAGATGTTCAGCGCTTCCCCAGCAGGTTGGAATCTTGCCCAGCTCCTCACAGCATCTGTTTATTAATCCACTGCAGACTTCTTTCGAGAACCAGTATAAAGGTTCTTGATGTTCTCTTGCTAGATTGCTTCTCTCCCCAGTTATGAGCCCCACCAACCCTGACCTTGTCGTCTTCCTTCTCCACCTCACTGCTGGATCTATTCCTGTATTTACACTTACAGAGTTGTCTTTCCCACAAGGCCATGAACTCTTTGGGGAAGGGACTGGTTCTTACTCAACCTAGCATCTCCAGGGACTAGCCGAAGGAGGCATTCCATCAAGGCTGGAGGAAGGAAAGGTGATGTTAGATGCTCATGACTGCCAATCTTCTTCTCCACAGCTTGACTTCTTATTTCTCTTTCATCCCCTTTGAAGCCACTGTGGGTTCCCACTTCTTAAAAAAGATTTATTTTTTTACTTTTATTTGAAAGGCAGAGTTACAGAGAAAAAGGAGAGACAGGATGAAAGGTCTTTCATCCTTTGGTTCACTGCCCAAATGGCCACAACAGCTGGAACTGATTAGATCCAAGGCTAAGAGCTATGAGCTTCTTCCAGGTTTCCACATGGGTACATGGACCCAAGGATTTAGGCCATCTTCCACTGTCTTCCTTGGCCATAAGTGGGAAGCTGGATCAGAAGTGGAACATATGGGACACAAACTGATGCTCTTATGGGATGCTGGCACCACATGTGTAGGCTTAGCTTACTATGACATGGTGCTGGCCACCAGTGTGGATTCGTTTTTTTGGTTTTGTTTCTGTTTTGTTTTTTGGTTGTTTGTTTGAACAAATGTTTTGGGCTGTCAAGCAACTTTTAAAATCATATTTTCCTTCCTCCCAGGTACTACCTTGGCCGCCAGATGTTTATAGTTATTTCTGATCCAGACATGATCAAGCAGGTGCTGGTGGAGAACTTCAGTAACTTCACCAACAGAATGGTATGCTGTTCCTTTTTACCTGTCAGTGTATGGGGATAAAATGCGGTGCATGTCAGATCTAATGCCTACTATCTGGCCCCTTATTGGGTTTAGGTCCCCCAGGAATTTAGGGAGTTCAAAAGAGATTTATGTTGACAATAAAAGAGCGGCATTCAAATTTAAGAAAGCTAAAACTCCAGAGAAGTTAAGGAAATACTAAAGTTAGGAGAATTTCCTAAAACTGTTTGACCGTAGACAGGAAGCTGAACCTGTAAGAGCCTTGAATTTCAGTTCAATTCTCTAGCTTACGAAAAGATGCACACCCCTATTGATCCAGGAAAGGACACACCTTGTGTTTTTTAATTTGATGAAAAATTTCCAAGAATGACAGAGCAACAGAAAATGGCAGAGGTAAAGCTTTGTCCACATTTTCCAAAATGGGAGATAGGAATTCTAGCAAAAAATACCAAAAAAAAAAAAAAAGTTTTTTTTAGTTGAGAAAACAAACTAAAGTGGGTTCATAAACAGCTGCTGTGAGAATTCAGAAAATGACTGTGTCAATCATTTTGTGGGGTTCAGGGGATGGAAATAAACCACCAAATCCTTTCTTATGGAAAAAATAGGTAATATACTCATTTACTTGTTGGGCAAACTTTTTTTTAAAAGCACCTGTGCCATACAGCTGGCATTGCCCAGGTGTTGACTGTAAATAGACAAAAACAAAACAAAACATAACATTGCCCCCTAGGAGTTCACAGATCAGTGAGGGAGGCAGAGAAGACTAGCAACACCCAGTGAAAAACACAGGTTCCCTAGTATGCCAGCTGGGAGAGTGCTGGGGCTGACAGGAATGTTTGTACTAGTTGAACCATTCAGTGTATTTTCTCAGGGTAAGAACTTGAGAGATTGACATAAAAACACCTTTGTTGTTGTTGTTTGGACAAGGAAATTAAGGCTCCGAGAGGCAAAGGGGACAGTCCTGGTCACTTACCAGGTACTAGAAAGGGCAGAGAGTTTGTGCCATCTCCTAACTTTAAGTTCAGAACTCTCTGCTGTCACTACTCTAGCAAGTGGCATCCAGTGGCCTGAGTGTTCAGATTTAATCAGTTACCTGGCTACCCACCCACAATATTCTCATCCTCTAGCCCCAGGACATGGGAAATACACGGGTTCCAGACAACCTGTGGTCAATAGAAGCAGGTGACCACCCTCTGGCTCCTCCATCACCTCACAGCAGTCAAAGGAGATGCAAAAAGTCAACTGCTTCTCCGCTACCTCCAGCTTTCCTTCTCCCATCCTTGTGTCCTGAGCCCTTCGTGCAAAGCCTCCTGAAGGCCTTCTGTCTCATCAGGAACTTGCGGAACAAGTCTGAGCATTCATGACATGCTTCTCATCCACTGTGGCAAGGAATATTGATAAAGAGGCTAGGGAACCAATGGTGCCAAGGGGCACTAGCCTCCAAGCTGGCAGCACAGGTGCCCCCAAGAGCCTGCACAGTTTAGGAGTCCACCTGGCTGCTGAGCCCTGACATGGGACATGGCTGCCATGGTCTCCATGTGGCTTCACATGACCCCCACAGCAGGGTATGACACCTCGAAAGCTGATCTTGAGAGAAATGCACTGGGATAAGTTGCTCAGCACAGGCAGACCCAGTGTAGAGGGGACCAAATAAAATTGCCTCCCACTCCTATCAGTTTTTCTGCAAGCTGTCTTCAATTTCTTCTACCCCCAAGCCTGAGATCCCAAACACCAGTGTATGGTTCCAATTTCCCTCTTCTTCCACTCAGCACAGGATTAAGCCTTCAGGTTCCTTGGGCAAGATTTCAGAGTACCTGTCATTTAGATCCATTGCACATGTCCCAGCCTAATCTCCTCATACTCCCAAATTCAAACTGCATTGGCTTGATCTCTCTGCTCTTTCCCTCTCACCTGTCCCCGAGCCTTGGCCCTGGGTGGACACACGTCCCTGGAACTGGAGGCAGTGAAATATTGCAATCCCCATTCATAAGCCCCATGAGCTTGGGGAAATTTCCTAACTTCTTTAAGTCTCCTGTTCCTCCTTTGGAAAATAAGGCATCTTGCTGAACTGCTGTAAGACCAAAGAGTGTCATAACCCTATAAACCCCACCCTGCATCTGCACAGGACTTGACAGGCGAGAGTAGCCTAAGGTGCATTAACTGTGTTTAACAAAAACATCCATCCCTTCTACACAGGTACCAACACCAGCTGTCCTTCAAAGTTCTGCTCATGATTTGCCTCTTCCACGAAGTCCTCCCCCTCTCCTTCTGCATTCACTTCCCATCTTCTCTGGGCTCTCACATAAACGTTTGTCCTCACATCTCTCATTTTTGCATCTGATCCCTCTGGGTCTTCTAACTCTTACATCTTGGTTATTCAGGTCACAAACTCTATCTTGACTTTTTATTTTTCTACTCCAACTGGCTCAAACACATGATGATTATTCCATCTACAACCTATTCCTCTTTAAACTGAACTGAGTCTCTACCAACTTGTCATTCTCCCACAAGGATTAGCTGGCACCTGAACTTGGAAATTCTGTTTTCATTTCTTCCGCGAGGTCATTCACAGGCGTGTAAAAGGCCCATCTGCAGAATTAGAGCTGCAGGAAACCCCAGCGTTCACCAGTTCCATCTGGGAATGTATCTGCTCGTCGTTAGCTTTGTTGATGATCTTTAAGCCAATTCCATATTCATGATAAAACAACCCTTAGTGACTCAATTCTTTAAAAACAGTCGTTAGAGGGGGATTTTCTCACAGGTTTTTGAAAGTCAAATTAAATCGGGTTCTGTGGCTCCCTCTTATCCATCTGCTTGTTTATCTGCTCCAGGAACTTGGGGAGATTAGTGAGGCGTGATTTCTCCTTCTCTCTAATAGGCCCTGTTTACTTAAGTGTTCTAGTCGGCTTTATTATACATTCACTCAGTAAACATTAAACGCTGACTCCATGCAAGCTCCTTCCAAATGGTCCCCTGTGAGACAGAAACACCTCGGCATATCAGCTTGATACATTAAGTGAACAGGAACTTAATGAATGTGTGCAGTTCATTTTCCAACAGTGAGAGCCCATCCCTGCTCACCAAGCCAGACCTGTGCTGTGTGGGTTCTATGGCCCTGCACAGTCTGGCCAGGGGTCAGGGCTAGTTTTGAGGGGGTGGCGTGTGAGCTGGGAGCACCCCAGAGGAGACCAATAGTGGGCACCAATTGGATGTAAGGTGATTCTGGGCAGAATTCCCTGGTGTACATCAGCAATGGGCGAATGTCAAACTCCTCACACCCCTCCCTACATTGCAATCGCTGGAACTTTCAACTCCAGGACACAGCTGAGTGGGCTGTGGGTGGGTCAGATCCAGACTGATGGTTCTTACATCTACATTCCCTATCACTGTATTTTGCTTTATTTTCCCAATGTTTGGCTTGTCCAACTTGTCCATTCGTACAGGGTACACTGCTTCAGCACATCTTGTCTGGAACCATTCATTTATGTTACTACAGCTCTCCCCATCCCCAAGTGTGTGAGGTGGCTGCAGCTTCTTGCCCACAAACTCTGTGGACCTCAATCAGCACCCTCCATGCTTCTAAAGACTTCTTCAAGGTGCTCTGGACACTGTCTACCACTCACCCCATCAATCTTGCGTGTGTTTACCAAATCTCAGTTGTCCCAGCACCTCAGTGCTTATCTTTACTCAGATAGTTTTAATGAGCTCCTCTTTCTTATTGGGCTCTCCTCATGTGCAGCTCTTTCTCCTAGTATCTGCAAACATGGGATACTCTGGCCCACGTGACCCAGTGGCCAGATCCCATCCAGAGGGAGTGCATTGGGTGCCTGGCTCCCACTGAAGCTTCGAGTTAGGGAGGCCATGGGAAGGGTGAGAAAGCCAGGCTGATCTTTGGTCTATGGACAGTTGGTCTACTTGCCTGGGGACACAGGAGCCATTGTCAAATCACTGCATCTGATGCTTGGAGCTGTGAGGTCAGGTCCAACATGGCCTGTGGTTTGCTCCTTCACAGGTGCACTGCTGGAACGTTAGAATGCCAGTGGAAGGTGATAGTGATTGCATATGTGTCTTGGAGGGGTATGCCCTTCAGGTCCCCAAGCATGCCCCGAGAGGTCGCCTCTCCAAGCACAGGCCAAGCCACACCACTGACTCACAATCATCACCTCTAAAGCCAAGTCATGCATTTGGTCAGTGGTTTTTATCTAGCACTGTAATAACCCAGTGGTCTGGCTGCTCCAGACTCAGCCATCCCCCTACAAAGGGCTGTTTCATCCAGCATAGCGTGTGGCTGCTAGAACTACAGGATGAGTCACGGGGAAAACCACAAACCTCTTGGCCCTGGCAAAGCTGACTGCAGTTAGGAGGCAAATTAGTCCCTAAATGTCTAACATCCCCTCCATCTGCGGCAGCACCCCATTCCAGAGAGGCGCAGGAAGGCATGGGCTCTCTACCAGGATGGTCATCAAGCAAGACTTAATCCAGAGCTCCAGGGAGCTCTGCTGCACCTGTTGGCTTCCACTGAGAGAAGGATGCTGGCGGGTTGGCCATAAAATACTTCCCTGACCCTTTAACTTATTGCTACACCTGAGTCTGGCACTTCTCCCCTGAGAGTTTTCAAAAACTTGCCCATCAGAATTCCTGGTTCCCTTTCTTTTAAATAAAGCATCGACTAGCACCCCCACTCCACGCCCCCTGAAAAAGATCCGTGTTTTCAAACATGAGATGTAAGATTTAGGATTGTTGTGTATGACTAAGGGATTTCTTTCTTTTCTTTCTTTCCTTCCTTCCTTCATTCTTTTCCTTCCTTCCTTCCTTTCCTTCCTTCTTTTTAAAGATGTATTTATTTTAATTGGAAAGTCAAATTTACAGAGAGAAAGAGAGACAGAGGAAGATCTCCCATTTTCTGGTTCACTTTCCAAGTGGCTGCAATGGCCAGAGCTGAGCTGATCTGAAGCCAGGAGCCAGGAGCTTCTTCCATATCTCCCACATGGGTACAGGGTCCC